ATATATATATATATATATATATATATATATATATACACATACATATATATCCATGTTCCCTTTTGTTTTATATGTGACTTGATGATTCTAATATAGCCTCATCTCAAACATCTACATACTTAATAACATTAACAGTTTTCGGTCTAATTTCTGCAGTTTTGACTGAAATCTTGTAATGTAAAAAAAACCAAACATGTAAAAACCAAACGAACCCAAAGACTTGTGAGCAGCTAAGCTGATAAAATACCTTCAAACATGAAGATTAGCAATTTGTCCTGCAGCTAATCTGAGCTCTTTAGATTTTTAAAACGGGTGACTATTAAGTCCAAATAGATAGGCCATACTGTGTTTATAGCACACCCTACTGGAGCCTGACCCAGATGCTTTGTCCACATTTATACAAACCAAAAACTAACAACTGTACCTTAACCTTCATGAATTCTTCATGTCCTTAAACTCTTAGATGATTTGCATGTACATCAGGACCTGGACTACTTTGTCCTTACGTGTAGAAATTATTTGATTTGATTGACAGGTCTGATGTCAAGTGAAAATGACCTTACATAGGTCAAATACATCAACGACCCAGGGACGAGATCCAATCCACAGGATCACAACACTTTGATGAAAAAAAACCCAAACAAACCCAAAAACCAAAGTTTGGGTTTCTTGTACGTCCACTACATGCAGTGTAAATTAGGACGACACCCTCTCCTCATGTCTGTGCTCTGTATGCACCAGGACCAGCACCTCCTCTGTGTGACCTTTGCCTACAGCTGGGCCGTATTCCTGTGGGCCGTGTCCCACACACCCATCTCCACGAAGAGGAGGATGTGGAACACGCAGGCGTAAGGTCACCTCCTCACGCACACAGCACAGGGGACATGACAAACTGCACTTGGAATTCTAAAAAGACCCCCTCACCCTCACCCCCCTTTCTCCTCCTTCCTGCTCCCCTTCCTCCATTAGCTGTTATGTTGGATTCAATTACTCAGCCTTCAGTGAAACTTCAGTTGTATTCCAGTGAACATCTTTTCACCTCTATGTCCAGATGACTTTAAAGATCTGCTCTTCCTTCTTCTCTCAGGACAAAGGCTGCGGTTCATGTGTGAACGCCACAGTCTGACAACTGTTTTCATAAAATATAATTATTTATTTTTTGTACTATATTCTAAGTTTTTGTGTTAAATCGTTGCTTTATTCTGGCTGTGCTCATTTGCAGTGTATTAGCATGCTAGAAAATAATAATTTCATCTGAATTTGAGGGGGATTTATAGAACAAAATTACAAAGGGAGCAGGAAGACTTTGTTAAACTTTGAGTTTAAAACTAAAATAGAAAATACACATTTTTTGTTGTAATGGCACTAAAACATGGTACAAATTAAAAAGTTCCAAAACTGTAAAGAAAAAAAAAAGAACAATTCCATGCTAAGGACTTACCCTGACAGACTGCAGAAAGAGAAGTGTTGCATATTCTGAGCTAACTTAGGTGACAGCTGCTGCTTCACATGTGATCATTTCACCGGTAACATTTGAGGAGATCCTGACCAGGGCCGAAACAAATCAGGAAAAAGAAGAAAATAAAAAAATGCTGTTTTTTTTCTAACACTTAGTTTAACATTCTTCATGATTTACCCATAATTCTAGGCCAAAAGCTATGCCATTTTAAATTAGTGTATTTATTCATTTTTAATACTTTAGGACTATATGATACTGGTACCAGCAAATTGTTCCAAATCCTCAGCCTTCAGTGAAACTTCAGTTTTATTCCAATGAACATCTTTTCACCTCTATGTCCAGATTATTCCTCAAATGACTAAATATTACCCCGATTCTCTGGATACCTAATACCAAGTCATTCCGTCTAAGTTTGCTAGCTTTAAGTTATTCCAAGCCAAACTTCTTATTCAGCCTCGTCTGTCGTTACATATTTTTTCTCAGCTGACGTTATTTCTGGACAAATTTGAGCCATTTTTAGGAAGTGAAGTGAAATAATGTGATTTGTAAAGGAGTAAACAGAACTAAAAAAGTAAAAAGAACAAATGTAAGCGCCCTTGGTCTGGTCATTTATGGTGATATATTTACATCACATTAGACTCTGTGTTGCTCCAGGCTGTATCAGCACCGCGGCTGTGGTCTCAGAATAAAGACGCCTGCTTCTCTCAGGAGGTGGTTTTTTTTCTACCAGTCACAGCTTGATGATTTTCACTGAATGAATTACCCTCTCCACCTCCGGGGAAGCAAAGGCTATGTCAGTGAAAGCATGAAAACAAGGAGGCAGGGAGGATTTGGGAGGAAGGAGGAAGGTAGAAGGAGGAGGAGGAGGAGGAGGAGGAGGAGGACTAACAAAGACAGGGAGGGATTTACATGTTACCTGGCTATGACAAACAGCACACAACTGACACCCAAGCAAGCCAGCAGAATATACATCCAGATATCAGGAGAGAGGGGGTTGAGGAAGGAGAAGACCCCCGGGTTGGTGCCGTTGGGCTTGCGGTACAGGATACTTATCCCCAGCGTCATGTAGGGTTTGGAAAAGTCGATGGCCTTCTCTCTGGCATAGGTGATGGTCAGAGGAGCCACTGCCAAGTCTGCTTTCTGGGAGCAGAAAACAACAAATAAAAGAGACAAAAAAACAACAGACCAATCAAATTAAAATCTGATTCCTGTCGACGACTGTTTTCTGTTTCAGTGGATTAGAACAACGAGTGACGGAGCTGAGAAAACGCCCAGGGTCGTTAGTTCGGTCTGACTGTCTGAGTCTTTTAGGAAATTACAGGTTGTATGTTGGAGGCTCTGGTGGTGTCAGAGTGGAGTCACAGAGACTGTAATGTTTAGATTAGACTAACAGCTGCTGAATTAACCCACTGTCCAGTCACAGCTGCGGTCAGACCTCAGTGCTGAACACTTCCTGCCCACAGCTCATTTATTATTTCACATGAAAAACACAAAGAAGACATTGAGACATTTTTGTTTGGTAAAAGAATCACACCGAGTTCGATCTGCAATGGCAGCTGTTTTCAATATATAGCTCGGGGGCCCTCGGTGGCACTCGGAGCTTTCTAATCATCTTAAACCAGGTCTGTTGACTTGAAATCAACTGTCAGGAATATCAGTGATAAGTGTTTTTACTTCATGTTCAATTGTCCGACTTTGTGTGTGTGTGTGTGTGTGTAAAAAGAAGATTGTACATGACTTCAGAAAACACTCCAAACCATTCATTTGTCTTTGGAAGCAATTTGATTAAGTCCCACTTTAGGGGCACACATTTTCTATTAACATAGTTTTAAAAATGACAGAACGTCTCCTTTCAGAGCCTGAAGGCGGTTTCTAAAGGGAACCCATTCATTTAATTTAGTTTTTAAAATGTTTAACCGCTGCGTGTTGACTCACATGATCTATGAGCTCTCGCACCATGCCGTTCCACTGCCCAGAGCTGTCATCCAGTGTGCCGTACTTCCCGTCTTCCACCAATCGCACCTCATAGCGGAAACCCAGGATGGCCGAGAGCTCCCTCAGGAGGTCGATGCAGTAACCCTCGAAGCGGTCGTTTCCATACAGAGGTTTGTCCGACTTCTTGAACATCACGTACGGTTCCTCCTGCCCAGAGATAAAACACAGTGATCTGGTCTCTGAATGGTGGCGTATGTCTGAGATAACGAAGATGATGAAGACGATGTGTTTACCAGGATGGTAGACACTCGCAGAGACTTGTTGGCCAGAGAGTCAGTAATGTTGGAGGTCTTGCTCTTGTGAGTGTCTGTCATGTTCAGTCCACTGTTTGGATCCCACGTTCCAATCTGTTTAAACAGTTTAGTTACAGGTTTTAGTACCTTGACTTGTGAGCAGCTAAGATGATAAAATACCTTCAAACATGAAGATTAGCAGTTTGTCCTGCAGCTAATCTGAGCTCTTTAGATTTTTAAAACGGGTGACTATTAAGCCCAAATAGAGGCCATACTGTGTTTATAGCACACCCTACTGGAGCCTGACCCAGATGCTTTGTCCACATTTATACAAACCATAAACTAACAACTGTACCTTAACCTTAACCTTCATGAATTCTTCATGTCCTTAAACTCTTAGATGATTTGCATGTACATCAGGACCTGAACTACTTTGTCCTTACGTGTAGAAATTATTTGATTTGATTGACAGGTCTGATGTCAAGTGAAAATGACCTTACATAGGTCAAATACATCAACGACCCAGGGACGAGATCCAATCCACAGGATCACAACACTTTGATGAAAAAAAACCCAAACAAACCCAAGTTCACATCAGTGTCACCTTCTCCAGCCCGTCCTCTTTCAGACTGATTACATCCAGGTCAAAATCCGTCCTCAGTCCGTTTGTCTTATTGAAGAGAACACGTCCGGTCAGGCCATCCCAGTGAGCCTGTGAATAATAAAACACATCACAATAAAAAACTTTAAAAACCCCTCGTCTCTCACCGCTCTAATTCCATTAACCTTAAGGCATCGTCTTTCTCGGCAACATCGACTCAACCTCTAACTATAAAACTTTTGTCTGGTCCCATTATGAATTCCAGCCGGCTCCCTCTCTCCTCCTCTCCTCCTCTCCTTCCTCACTACAACGTAACAAGGAATGCTAAGGGAAGCGAGAACAGAAGAAAGTTTGACAGGTAAGACTTCATTATGCATGTGCTTCATTGCGCT